AGCGGAGCGGAGCGCAGCGGCGGGGGGGCCGAGACCCCTCACCCCCGCCGCGGGGAGGAGGAGTGGAAGCGTAGGGGGCGGGCGGAGGACGCCGTCCCGCTGCGGGGAGAAGCCGCCCCCGCCTCGGCGGGAGGGAGCCGGTCCTCCGGCCCCTTCCCTTCCCTTCGCGGCAGGCAGAAGTCAAAGGAACAAAAAGCTAAATGCCCTTTGCTGGAGTCCCCCAACTCCAGGGCACAGCAGAGGTACTTAGAGCGTGTTTCTTCCGAGCGGTTCGGCTAGCCCGTGCCCCTCACCCTCCTTTTCAGCGCCTCGAGGGCACCTGCCTTTGCAGCATCCCTCCATCACGGACAGCCCGCTTTGCCTCGCTGTAAGCCTCCAGAGACCAAGCTCTCGTGTTACCCGTGTTTTTCCCAGTGGCGTGGGGCCTGGTGGTCACACGCGGCCAGCGGTAACACAAAACTGTGCGTACTAGGGGGGATAGGCCCATACCGAAGGCAAGGAAAAACTAAGCGGCAACGAGCTGACTGAGGCACAATGGTCAATTTAAAATCGACCTAACCTTCAGAGGTTTCCAGATCTAAACCTGAAATACATCTCACAGCTTGGCCCTGACACAGCTAGATCAAGTGAAGGAGATGAATGCTGGATCCCAAATTTGGATCAGGTCAGCGGGTCAGTAACAAACAAGCAAATCTAGGGGATTAAAGACACCTCTAAAGAGAGGAGCACAAAGGAACACCAAGCCCACACCTCACTGTGGTACAAGACTGCATTTAGTTAGCAACAAGCTTTAATTTTTTTTTCCCCCGTAAATCTTTACTCTGGGTAATGCAGTACACCATCACACGTGAAAATGCAGTTAAGTGAATTAGCATTCTTGAAAAGGAAACATTAATAAAATAACAAGAAAAGCCTCAAAGAGCGCTCAAGCAAGGTATGTAACTGGTAGTTTTTTACTTTTCTTTTTCTCCCTACCCTTTTTTAAAGCAAAGGTTATTGGGAGGGATAGAAATGAACTACAGCAGAAAATGCTGTTCTATAATCTGCAAATCCTTACACTAACCCAGGTAGTTAAGCAAAGAGACTGCCCTATGCTTGTTATTCTTCCTGCTCTGTAGACAATCTCAACTTAACAGGACTTTCCTTTATAACCTTCATTTTGCCCAACTATCAGCATATTTCCTATAAACGGAAGTTGTCTTTCTCCGTTCCCCAACCAAAACTTTCCTTGTTTAAGATTCACAGTTCATTATATGGTAGGATTGTTACACCCCCCTGTCAAATTTACAACTGAAATTGGAATAGAAGAATCCTAGCGGGCACACAGGATAATCAAAAGTCTGTGACATTAGCTTTAGAAGATAAAAGTGAAGAACAGCTACATTATTATATTTAGATATTATGCTGAAATAATTTTATGGTTGTGGGTCAGTTTCTTGCCAGAAGAACCTGATTTCTCATTTTCTTTCCCACAAAAGAACCAAGAAAGGTACAAACCAGCAGTGCCCTAAAACCATGAGAAATTAGGACTAGATCTTCATGTCTTTGGGGATGTCTTGGATTCCATATGACTGATGATGTAAAATAAAGCAGGAAAGTGGTTCTAATATTCTAAACCAAACTTAGACTTTACCTAGACAAACACACATAACCCCAGAGCACACACCAACAAAAAGACCTCAGACAAAACATTCTTCAAGGTGGTAGCTGGGGGTTGAGGTGAGGGTAGATGTTTTCCTCTTGCATTTTTGGCAATGGGGTTAGAAGATGCCAGTGGGATGGCATGTTAACACAGAGGGTGCTCAGACCTCAGCATCTCACTGCTTGTGCTGCTCTATGGTAAAAGCAGCAGCAAATAGGAAAACACACAACCCAGATTTCTCTCTGGTAAGTACCCGCATCCAGACACATTTAGCTCATGAACATCTAACATTAGAAGCTACTTCTTTTTTTTTTAATTGATCACCTGGCTGTGGCACAACAGTTTCAGGCAGCCTTCATTCACAAGGTTGAAGAGCCAGATAAATGCTCCCAATTTGAGGGCATACACATCCCTGCAGGTTACAGGAGTGATCCAGACAGGATTTTAAAAGGGAAAGGGGTGCTACTCCTCTCATCTAGCTGAAGCCAGGAAAGCCCTGGGAGGTTATTACCCAGGAGCTGGAGTGTAGATGTGAGTTTTGGTTTTGGATGTAAAGCAAGCTATCAGTACAGGCACATGAAGCAAGTAAACACTTTTCCTTTCTCACCTTCAGGCTGGTTTGCAAAATCTCAGGTAATAAACTGTGGCCTTTCAGGAAGAATAAATTTAGGTGCTTCCCTAAATACAGTTTATATCTCTGGTTCCCACCTACTTCTTTAGCCCATGATGGTACTGAATAGACACAGACCAAGGTACCTGGGAAACTCTGTGGCTCAAAACAGAAGTGTCTACTCATTTCTTCAGAAAGAAAATGTTATTGTAGGGTATACAGTCTAAACTGATGTGAAAATAAGGGCAATATTCCAGGCAATACAAATACCATGTTATGAGTAAAACATCAATAAACATTCCCTATTTTTCCCCATCTCTTTTGAACTCTAACTCTTAGGGCTTGCAGGAACAGGCTACTCGAAGATAATCCTTAAGACTGCATGTTAGAAATTGAGGTAGTATCTCACATACACTCCAGTCTCTACGGTACAAATTGCTTCTGGATATTATTTTTAAGAAAAAGATGATTAGATTGCACTTCTTACAGCATCCCCAAAACTTTATCCCCACCCCTTCCCTAAAATGAAAACAACCTATAATAAAATTAGAGGAAAACCAACCATATGAGGTGTTTCACTGTATAAGATCTATACGCTCCCATCACCCGAATACGTAGAGACTAGATCTGGCTCAGGAAGTCCTTGGACAAAGTTACTGGAGGAAGGACAGTATGAGTGGAGACATTTTCTTCGCAGTTATTCTCTCTCCAGGAGTAGCCCTAAGCTGATGCCCAGGGAAAAGCACAACAGCGGGACAAAATGATCTTTTAGTCTAAGCACAACGTGGCTGTTTCATAATACATTCATGTTCATAAACTAGGGGAAAGTTCTACAGAAACCAAGAAGCCTTCCCAAATAAAAGGCAAAAACCTAAGCAAATTAAAGAGGCCTTACTCAAAATCATGCAAGCATATAGATAGATCCCTCTGTTCCTGTGACTACCCTGTATGCAATTTTGTTCTGCTGCGATCTGAATCTATGGCACAGGGATTATCCCGTGAGAGCGATGGGAACCAGAGAATTGTAGTATAGCACTGGTAATTACAGAAACCTGGTCAGCAACTGACATGAAGCGTAAGAACATGTCATAACTTCGGGCATATGCAGATCTTTGCAAAAAGCAGGACGGAATTCCCCTCCTTTAGCATTGCATAAGAAAAGCCAGGTGCATCACTATTATTTTTGTCAGCTGACTTTGGCTATAGCCTGAGGCGAGATACCAGAATTCTTAGATCAGTTTGATCCACTGCTTCACTTCCTGTCTTCCAGTTAAAGCAAGTGTTTTAAGATCCCATTTTTCTCCACTTTCCAAGTCCAAAGACAAGTCCTCCCTCATGCTCTTCACTGGCTGCTGCACTAGCATGGTTAACACCTAGGTTGCTGTAAGGAATTAAGCTTCCTGCTGTGGCAGGGAATGTCATGAGGCAAGCAAGAGGAGAAAAGGGCAAGGGGCAGGTGGGGGGATGGCAGGGCAGGGGAACCACCACCAAAACTTCCTGCAGCAAAGGATTGAGTGTTTGACATGATATTTGTCAAGCCTAGGATGATGGCTCCTTAGTGGTGCTTAGCACAGGCATTGCCCAATAAAGTCTGCTGAAGCCTGCTGTGATACAAAAGCAGCATAGGCAAACTGTTAAGTCTTTATTTCCTGTTCCCAGCTATCTGGCTTAGATCAAAGACAAACTGCTTGTCACTGGACTGCTTAAGCTGCCAAGCAGGCACTAAGGTACTTTTAGAATACGGCTCTCCTAATAAGGTACATCATACTAGCAATAAAAATAATAATAAAATCATTCACTTCTCTCGTTACAGAATAAAGTCAAGTCTTGTTTTCTCATCCACTGTATCTCAAGCCTCACATACGCCCCTGATTAGTGATTTCCAATCCTCTGTGCCTTAAGAAACCTTTTGTTGTTTGAAGTATGTTTTTTAATCTCAAAGGGCTCTTATTTAAACACTGTCAGGTCTTTTGATGGCTAAAGCTTTTGTGGTTATTAGTCCCGAGGAAGGTTCCAATGCAGAAGCCATTCCAAGAAAAGTCATGGCTTCCAGATTAACGATAAAGTCAAAGGTTGTTCAAGCCATTCCGCTGGAAACGGTCCTATATCGTGCTTTGAGTTTGACATAGAACAATGCTACCGTGCCTCCTCTCAAAACAGGGTGGAGAAAGGAAATGCTAATAGAGAAAGGTTGGTCTTGTGGATAAGGCACAAGGCAACGATTCAGGGGACTGGAATCTGGCTCTTGGCAAGTCAGCCTTTCTACTCTTAGGCAGGTCATTTAATTCTCTGAGCCTCAATTTCCCCAACAGAAATCAAAGAAGATACTTCCTTGCTTTGACACTTCTACCTTATTCCCTCATGATGCAACTTCTTCAGGGGGTGAGCTGCTTATTATGCGCACGTGCCGAGCACAATCAAATGATAGTAGTTCCATGAATACTTTAGACTGTGGTACTGTCAGAAAAAGGCAGCCTCCCCTCTTTCTCTCCTTACCTTTGGGCAACGC